GATCTGATAGTAGTTAGGAATTTTTTTTATTTAAAATCCCTCAAAACAAATCATTTTAGCAAAAATTAACAAAAATATGAGAAATGAGGATACATATATCTAGAGTCCGTGGCTTAAATAATTTGTTTGTACTTGAACGTATTAGTATATTCAAAAATATCTAAGCCTACCGATATAATTTTTGTTTACAAGAATTTGATTAATTTTGAAATTAATACTTTCCAAATTTTGTTTACTAGAGATGGAATAAAATTTCCGTTCTCGGTATAAGATAATCAATTTGGGGAAATTTCTAAAAGAAAAAGATAATTTCTTAATTTGATCAATATTTATACATGTAGACGTAGTCAATATCTTAATAAATGGTGATGGTCAAAATGGTTTGAAAGAACATTGAACATAACATAAATTCTTATATTTTCAACTAGACCTTTAACAAAAAAAAAAAAAATTATATTTTCAACTAGATCAAAAAAATGGATAGAAAAATCATTTCGACCGATTATCTTATTTGAAATTAGTCCGGTTTCAATCAATATTATCTTTGAATCAGTAGAGAAAATATTTTTCTTAATATTATTATTAGTACAATATTGGCTTTTGTTTAGTGATGATAATGATACTAACAATCAGTTGGTAACTAACAAAAAAAAAGTAACCAGATGGATAATAATGATTAAAGGAATTTGTTGGTTAAGAGAATTAGCAATGAACCAATCCAATGATACGTTACAAAAAAAAAAAAAACTCCGTACATTTATACGAAAGTGGGCCCCACTCACCGATCTGGTGTTTGGTTTTTCTTCTGAGTGGGCTTTTGCTTCGCTTCTTCGTTTTCCAAAACACAATTCATTGCTTTTAAAGCTAATCTCTTTCTCCCCCAAACCAAAACCAAAACCTTTGCTTCTTCTCCTCTTAAAACCTAAAACTACTGTAACGCTCTTCTTCGCTAAAAGCAAACATGGATTCTCAGGACAACAGAAACCCACAACACTCTCCAGGTTCCGTAACCATCATCAACATTGTCTTTAGGGTCTCCTTCTTATTACGTTTCAGTTTCGGATATTTCTTCTTCTCTTGTCTGATATGTTCGTCTCTTGTGATTCTGTTTCTGAGATTTTTAATCAATGTGTGCATAAAAATGATGTCTTTATCTTTAGA